TTTGCAACGTCCTCCTCAGACTCTAGAAGCTCTTCGAGAGATGTTGGTGGTTGCCTGGAATGAGATACCACAGAAGGACATTGACCACCTGATCAGAAGCATGCTTAGACGCGTTGGAGAATGCGTAGCACATCAGGGTGCATCAACACATTATTAAAGGTCAAAGGGCTTTAAAGCAGTGCAATCATTTTGAAATTTTTATCATTTACTTATTAAGCTTCATTAAGTACTTATACAAAATTTTATTAAAATAAAACCATTTAAACTGGGTGTTCGGATTTATATGTCACTTAGTATATATATGCACGAGAATAAGCACGCCTATAGGAAGAATCATTTTCCTCCCTAATTAAGTAATTCGCAGGAACAAGAGTTAACCGAAAACCTTTCTTCGAATTTTCACTTACCGATTACTGTATTGAAAGTAATTAATGAGCTAAATAGCATATACTGAGAAAATCTCTATAGGGGTGATAGATGAAAAAATATAAATAAAACATTTTCATCCCCAAAAAAATGATTTCCCAAAATGATTTATATCTCAAAAAGTACTCTATTACAGAGACAATTCATGGGCCAGGTGGCACGGCGTGAGAAAGCTTCTGAATGGCTGGCAGATAAAAAAATATGCTAAAAAAATCATGTTCACCCCCAAGGAAATGATTCCGCAAAATCAGTTGTACCTCAAAAAAATACTGTATTATAGAGACTATTTATAGGCTAGGTGGCATGGTGTGAGAAAGCATCTGAAAGTTTGGCAGATAAAAAAAAAATGTTAAAAAAATCATTTTCACCCCCAAGGAAATGATTCGCCAAAATCAGTTGTACCTCAAAAAAATATTCTTATAGAGACAATTTATAGGCTGGGTGGCATGGTGTGAGAAAGCTTCTGAAAGGCTGGCAGATAAAAAATATGCTAAAAAAATTCATTTTCACCCCCAAGGAAATGATTCCCCAAAATCAGTTGTACCTCAAAAAAATACTCTATTATAGAGACTATTTATAGGCTAGGTGGCATGGTGTGAGAAAGCTTCTGAAAGGCTGGCAGATAAAAAAATATGCTAAAAAATTCATTTTCACCCCCAAGGAAATGATTCCCCAAAATCAGTTGTACCTCAAAAAAATACTGTATTATAGAGACTATTTATAGGCTAGGTGGCATGGTGTGAGAAAGCTTCTGAAAGTTTGTCAGATAAAAAAAATGCTAAAAAAATCATTTTCACCCCCAAGGAAATGATTCCCCAAAATCAGTTGTACCTCAAAAAATACTGTATTATAGAGACAATTTATAGGCTGGGTGGCATGGTGTGAGAAAGCTTCTGAAAGGCTGGCAGATAAAAAATATGCTAAAAAAATTCATTTTCACCCCCAAGGAAATGATTCCCCAAAATCAGTTGTACCTCAAAAAAATACTCGATTATAGAGACTATAGGCTGGGTGGCATGGTGTGAGAAAGCTTCTGAAAGGCTGGCAGATAAAAAATATGCTAAAAAAATTCATTTTCACGCCCAAGGAAATGATTCCCCAAAATCAGTTGTACCTCAAAAAAATACTTGATTATAGAGACTATTTATAGGCTGGGTGGCATGGTGTGAGAAAGCTTCTGAAAGGCTGACAGATAAAAAAATATGCTAAAAACTTAATATCGTATGTATGACCATGGGCTTATCTACTATAATAATTTTGATTTAAATAGAATGTCGAACCTTATTATCCTTGGAACGAACGAAAATAATTAAAAATTGAAAATTTGGAGAGGATAACGCAGTCAAACATATCATTTCACGTCCCACTGAAGGTATTATCATATATTTATAGGATACGACTGCAGCTATACGACCTTTTTTCCACGGAAAACAAATGAATGGGGATGACATCGTTTTTTTACAGCAAATGGTAGGATCCTGATGCCACCAAATTGTAAACCTTTCACTAGCCTGATGGAAATATGATATGTCCCTACAGTGAGGTTTTTGAGTATAACTCACCATTGCTCCTCTACAATACACAAAAAATGTACCAGAGGAAAATAAGAGCGTGTGATCATATACGAGCAATATATCATGAATTTGGCATCGTCAGAATGCATCAGGTGAATTTTTCGGCCTATCGCCAATGTGCCTGTATCCAAGCGACCAATGGCATAGTGGAAGGTCGCCCCGATTTTCGGCTACCATTTAATTTTATTCCATGTCTGTGGCTGTTTGATACAGCGTGCAAGTGGTTCAGTGAAAAAAGGCTAGTGAACATTATTGTTTAAATTGAGTATAAAGGTACTCACAAGATCATAACCTCCAAAAACATCGCTTGATTAGAACGTTTAGTTTTAAGTGAGAAATTGTCACCTGAAGCTGCCCGTGATGGATAGATGCAGAAGGAATATGAATACAACAAGAGAAACAAGAATAGACTTTTAGAACCTTACATGAATGCTTATATGTTTGTAATTTTGTTATAAATACAGGGTTCATTGTCGTTCGGTTGTTCCTTTTTGTCCTTCTTAATTGTGATGCTGGAAGTGACAGGTGCACATCATCTGGATATACCTACTTGAAATAGCCATTAGGTGTTTCCTTTGCGAAGCACTGGATACTTAACAAACATTCAGTGGATATCCATTGGGTGTTAATATTAAATACATAAGATCAGTGATAATTGTCAAATGCATTCGATATACCTAGGATATCCACATATATATTTAGACTCTCTCGGATAGTGCCGGGCATCTGGATATCCACTGGATACGTAACAGATCGCCAACAGTTCATAAGTCTTCCGCTCTGTACCTCCCTACAGTCCCGTTAGACTTACCGCTACCGCATCCCTGATGGTTCAAGTATAAAAAAATCACCTTACTGTTCGTATCATGTCCGTACTCACACTCAAAATCCATACTTTCCGGTAAACACATATGATTTATATGTCTTACCGACCATATAATTTTTACCATGAACGTGAAACATAAACCATCGCAGAGTAAACAATATACGGACATCGGCAAATATAAAAAAACAATTTGAAGCCATCACTATTAAAGTTTCATTAATTCTACGTTTTATCGTTGTGAATAATGGATGGGACATGGATTGAAGCAATCGTCACGAAAAGCATTTGGAGCTTTTTTGATAAAACGGTCCGATACGGAGGTAACAACCAATTAGGCAGGCTATGAGTGAGCATCATGGCATTTGAATAATTTAGTAGATATCTTTCATTTGATCCGCCAATGATGTAACAGCTAAGGTTGGTGAATAATAGGCGTTTCCAATATATGCTTGATGAAGCTTAAGGGACTTCAAAGCTACACCTTTTTTTTATGAACAAAAAAAAGAGGTATAACCATATCAAAACGATACGGATATCTAATATATACTAAGTGACATATAAATCCGAACACCCAGTTTAAATGGTTTTATTTTAATAAAATTTTGTATAAGTATTTAATGAAGCATAATAAGTAAATGATAAAAATTTCAAAATGATTGCACTGCTTTAAAGCCCTTTCACCTTTAATAATGTGTGGATGGTATCTCATTCCAGGCAACCACCAACTCCTCTCGAAGTGCTCCTAGAGTCTGAGGAGGACGTTGCAAATTGAGCAATCTCCTACCCATCATATCCCACACGTGCTCAATTGGGGATATGTCGGGAGATCTTGGTGGCCATGGTAACAATGTTACATCATTATGTTGAAAGAAGTCTATTGTGACTCTTGCAACATGTGGTCGGGCATTATCTTGTTGGAAAGTTGGATCTGCCAGGGTGTCAAGATAGGGTGAAAGATGGGGTTCTAGAACTTCGTGGATATAACGCTGCGCATTCATGTTACCTCTGATGAAGATTAAAGGTGACCTGGAACCATAAGCTATAGCACCCCAAACCATAACTCCAACAGTGTGATGAACATGTCTTTCAACAAAAAACTATGGATTCCTCCTTTCACCACGTCGACTTCTAACCCTGGCACGACCATCGTGCATGCCTAAACAAAATCGAGACTCGTCACTAAAGACAATACTGTTCCATTCCTGATCCCAGAGTGACCGTTGTCTGCACCAGTCAAGGCGATCACGTCGGTGTTCTCGAGTTAAAGGGAGGACCCAGTGTGGCCGGTATGAAAACAAGCCAAAACTTCTCATTCGTCGGTAAACACTTCGCATGCCAATAGGTCTTCCGTGTTCTGCAAACCATTCATTTGCAATGGACCTGGTAGTGGAGACACGGTCCCTTAAGGACAATAATCTTAGGCGGCGATCTTCACGGTCTGTTGTTCTACGGCGGCGTCCAGTGCCCCTTGCTCTTTGCGTACGGCCTTCTCGAAGCCAAGCCTGACAACACCTAACCACAGTGTCTACACTTCTTTGCACTCTAACTGCAATTGCCCGAAAAGAAATTCCAGCCTCCCGAAGTCCCACTATACAGCCCCTATCAAACTCACTAAGTTGACGAAATCGTACAGGTCTCCGTACTCTAGGCATCGTAACCGATCGTAAAGGATGTCAAGAACCAAAATCCGCCAACGTTGATTCTTTACTGCGGCTGAAATATTCATTTTTAGAGCGTTAGTGAATTAAAAAAAAGCAGTATAAAAACCGTAATGTCCAACTGATGAGGCTGAAAATTTTTTCACTTGTTATTTACAGTAAGATAAATACATTCACCAACTTTTATTAAAATAAAACAATTTAAACTGGGTGTTCGGATTTATATGTCACTTAGTATAATTAAGTATATGAGTGAGGTCCTTATTTCAAAGGTTGCTAACAATTCTTGTAGAATTTTCCTGTTGTCTAAAAGGAGGCCTATCTACATGAGTCATCATCGATTGACTGTCCAGTTTCAAAACTACCCTATCTTTGGTAGCGAATCTCCTACTAGCTTATTTTTAGTACGAATTTAAGAAATTATGTATAATAAAAATCGTATGCGAGATTTTAGGTACTTTTTAAACAGTTCAAGAGCAAAATCGCTGAGCACTACATTAGAATGATGGTACTTACTCGTCAACATTGAAATAAGGCTGATCACACACATAACACCGAATCTGAGTCTCATCCTCTTCATCCACCTCTCTTTCGTCTACCGTTCCACTATGCTGAGAGGCTGAAACAAAAATATCCTTTTAATTCGATATGTATCTTATTTAAATTAGTTTTTGCGTAACTTTCTTTGTGACGCCTGATTCTCCTGGATTATGATTCAGTAACAGGAATACTGACCTAACACAAACCATTCAAGGTAAGAATATCAGTAGGAGCTGCCAGAAATGTTTTAGTGGAAGGTATTCGACCTAACTGTTAGCGTAATCTCTTTTTTAAACCAGGAAGATTGACACGCAGACGCTAGCCTCGAAAGGTGTAATAAGTTATATCATTTTGTCAAAGATGTTTTTGTTAATATGATGACATGCATCAAAATCTGCAAGCTATTAAATACTTATGATGACACAGTAGTTACAAGATAGTTAAATTTTACTGTTGCCTTGATATTGAGTTCTTGTTTTATAACGTAAATCTTAAACGTCACATTGAACAAAAATATGTTAAGTCAAATCAAGGCTGAGGGCCGTATCGTCAATCGTTCTTACAATAATAATTACTACAGGACACCTTTATGGTCTCCTTGATTTTGATAGTATTTTCTCTCCTTCAAAAAGGATGGAACATTTTTAGATTTCTAGTGTTCCATGTCAGCGCTCTCCTATTGTGAGGTTGTGTTTTCTTTTTGAATTTTATAAAATTTCAGGCGTATAAGACCTATAATAAAAATTAAAAGCATGAACAATTAGATGTAAGTAGATATTTGTAACATAACCTCAAAATATAGCACCTTTCTGAAGGAGAGAAAAGACTACGAACATCAAGGAGGCCATAAGGGCGTCCCACAATTATTGAAGACAGAAGTGGAAAAGGGTGTTATGTAACATTTTTTTAAAAACTGCTTTTTTGCATTAAACGAACCTTAAGGAGAAGAATACTCAAAGTAGAAACTGTATGAAAGTTGCTATCACAATCAAGAAAAAGTAAGAACTTAGTGTCAGTTCCATGTAATATGTACAAAAGAAGTAAAGGACCTTTTTGAAACTGTAATTTCTTGAATAGTTTGTTGAATATGCCACAGAAGTTAAAAGTCATGTTGAAACTAAACATTTCATTGATATCCACATTATTTCAACGATATATTTTTACAACATGGGAAAGAAACTTCCAAATTTCAAACCTTTAGCATGATCTGCATTTAAGAAATATGAAAAGACATACCTGAAGAAATTTTTCAAATTCCAAAACTAACTTTCTGAATCCGCACCAATATTCAAATCTGACTTCGGATGACAACCCTCAAAAGTCAATCCACAGGTATTAGAACACAAACATAAACTAAATTAGTATCAAATTCCCGTCGAGGTATTGCACCTTCACCTGCCCTCTGATTGGTGGATCGCTTCCTCTCTGTCGCACCCCGTGAGTCAGGGGGTTGAAAAAGGACGAGGATAGGGTGAAACGTCAACCGCATCAAGTGAATGATTTTGTTAACCCCGTTTTGTGGGGGGCGGACGAGATATTAATGTGTCGTTGGGAAAGTCGTCGCGGGGCAGGGGTAGTTTTAGTTGATGTTGTGTGATTCAGTGACAGATTGTTCAACAAATGTGTTTTGCCCTAATGTCATCCTATCTGAAGTCAAATGCTGGAAAATTGTGATTGCCGTTTTCTTTGCTTTCAAATAATTAGAGTACAGTAATAGTAAATGGGCAAAGTGTCACTATGAGTAGCGTACTTAAAGTTCACTTTTGAAACAAATAAAATTATAATATAATACTGAATTAATAGAAATGTATGCATATCCCAATAATAACTAATAAATAGAATAGTCCATATTGCCAGGATTGTGTGTTCATCAACAGACCTCGGCGTGCAGTTTCAGTTTATGTTTTTTGTTAGAATTAAATAGTGCGTAATTTTGGAACGTAATAGGCAGGCCATTATCTAATTCAATAGCGTCGTAGCTGAATGATTTTTTTAGAATGTGAGGGTATCACTGATATATTTCTATTCCCTGTATTTAGTTCATTTATGGTGCTACATCGTGCTAACTTCTTATGCAAATTTCGTGGTGGTTGGGTGGCTAGCACATTTTGTAGTCAATAAGTGGAGTTTTTGCATGCATTTAATCTGCAGAAGACGAAGCTCCTTAAATTTATGAAAAACATGATCAAACGTACAGCGGAGCCATATATACTGTCACAATAACTGATTTTGACATAATTAATACTTCTCACAGTTTTAGTTTTAGTGAAGTAGGCATTCTTTGCCTATGCGGGTAAAACCGCTTCAAAATGCAGTATGCACATAATGAATTCGCTTGCTTTTTGTATGTTAGTTCTGTGTCCATCCAGAGTTTCAAGTTTTTACACCCGCTCATTATAAGTGCCAGTTATCATAGATTTTGAGCTTAATTTCCGTTTTTATCGACGTTCTTTTGTTTTTTTAAACTAAAAATTTAGATGGCTTATTTTTCAGGTTATGCGAGCACAAGATGACTATTGCCCATGTTAAACCTTCGTTGATAGTTAATGTCTCTGCCATTTTAAAATATTTTCGTAAAAAGCTAAAATTTTGAGTACCACCAGCATAGTGATTGATTGGAAATGTTGATGGAAATCTGATAAATACTGGGAGAAAAATAAAGGGCCCAACATTAAACCCTGAGGAACTCCGTACTTTATGGCAGTCCCAAGTCCAGCTTCGAGCTGCCGATTGCCACAGTGCAAAGATTTTGATCGACACCGACAGTCAATAAGTTAGAAGTTTGATAATTAGCTAGTTAATTGTTTTTTACATCATAGTCGATCACAGTATTAGCTATCTAGCCGGTGCTTAGTTCTGTGCTATTATGTTAAGACGACTAAACATATTGTCTTGTATTTCAGCGAAGAACGCTTTTCTTGGAGTCTGATTGAATGCGTTCGCTCCCATTAAGCCTTAGAAACTACTGCCCTGATCGGGATAGACATGAAAAAGATTTTCTGTAGAAGTGTGAGAAGATTTAAAGTAATCTAAGGAAGTTCAAGACAATCTAGGAAGTCTCAGGAAACCTGAAGAGATCTGAGACAATCTCTTTGCGCAGGCGGCTCATGTCTGTTGCCATTATGGTACAGGGTTGCCAATTGCACTTATTTCCGAAGAAAACCGAGGAAATCAGAAGAAATCCAGGGAGACACAAAGGAATCTGTTCAGATTTGAGGAATGAAGGAGCTATCTTTTTGACGAAACATATCCCTTTTCACAATTTTGATAATGACTGAGAAATAGAAAGTGCTTTAATCCCTATTTGTTTTGCGGCTTTGAATTATGCGCTTTTTGGTCTGTTTTTCCAACTTCTTCTCTCCTTTAGGAAGCTAAAATGGGACATAATATTTGCCTCCGTAAAGTAGATAAAAAGCTTAGAGAAAAACATAGAGCCATGCCAAAAAGACGTTTTATGAAGTATGCAGGCAAGTAGGAATGACAGTGGGTTCGACCCTAAGGCAGCTTTACCATTTTCTAATCCTATCTAATAATAGTTTTGACGTATTGCTATATTAGGCGAGAACGTACCAGCATTTAGAATCTAGTGGAGTACCATCTGGTTGCTGATTTCAAATTAAAAAAAATATGATTATGTGATCAAGCATTATGATCACTTCATTTCATAACAGATCAGCATATTTTATCTATTCACGACTGTTAGATAAATAGCCACGTCTGTCAAGCTATCATGACTTTATTTGTTACAGCAAAAGCTGCTTATCTTTGTCAAAACTAATAAACTTAGGTACATCATCATATTACAATAAAGACACACTTTACACCCACTGAGCTATATCGCATCAAGTTCGCATCAGGTGAAAACGTTAAAAAATTAGAATGCACACCTTACGGACACCACCACCTACTATCAATGATCCATTGCCGTTTCTCCTGGCGTGCAGTACTGTCTTGGACGTCGATAAATTCCACTGATAAACACAGGATTTGTGACATGACAATTTTTGGGTGTATCTTATGTATTTTGAAACCATTAAATCAAATAAATCAAAAACAGAATTCACCCACAGATATTCAGTAATATCTACTTTTATGAATTACAATACGTAACATCTCATATTGCTGCATTTCTCGGCATCTATGCGATGACGTACATATATAATGTTAAGACCTGTCTATTCCTGTTTATTATATGCGAGCTCTATGTTTAGAGAGCATATTGCGTTTATCAGTAGACTAATAGCAGCCGAGTCAGTTACGTTTTCTGTATTGAAGAGTGAGGTGTTCTGAGTACTGTTTAATTTTTGTTAAACGGTGTGTTGTTTTTAGTTTATTGTGATCGAGACTAGCTTTATGTACAACGCCTAGAAATTATGTAAATAGTGCGAACAGTTTTTGTTATGTGTGCGGAGAGCTAAGTTTTATATCCCAAAAACGTACCTTTACTCCCCTTGTGTTGAAAGCATACGAACTGTATTTTGTAATTAAAGTTATAAGACTTGTGGAACGTTGTTAACAGGTTGGTTAAGAGGCGACAATCGTAAAATGCTCTCTGCGGTACCAATGGTTTGGAGAGAACCGAGAGACCATACTACTGATTGCTATTTTTGCCTCACTAATATTAAATGTATTGGACCAAAATCGAAACATACTGTTAAGTACTCGTATTTTAATTTACCATCAGCTTTGCGGCCCGTTAAGTATAGTGATGAACTTTCTGTCCCAGTTCCACCAGAATCTTGGTCTTTGGATAAGAAAGTCGAATCCACCGATTCTGAAAGTGCTGGTACAGAAAGCGTAAAAATGTCCGATCCTTGGTTTGACTTGCCAGGATGTTCAACAGCGCCGCATTTGATCACGCAGGGCGAACTTAATGACTTAGTTCGTGAATTAAATTTGTTAAAATCCCAGTTAGCGTCAAGGTTAAAAGGATGTAATCTTCTCCACGGTGATGTTAACATTACTTTTTACCGAAAACGACAACAAGACCTCAGACACTGTTTCCGTCAAGAAAGGGAGTTGATATATTGCTCCGATGACAACAGTTGGTTTGACGCGTTAGGACAGAAACATGATCCA